CAAAGTTGGCTTTTTTCGTCTATGCACTGTATCTTCTCTATCAATAGTAAGTAACACTCTTGGTGTATCCGTGGCTGTCACGTGGCTGCGCCCAACACCTTGAAAAAGGCAGCCTAGGCCAATCTCCTGGCATTCTCTGATTAAAATGCAGTAGCCAACCATTTGCAATTTCTTATTATAATGTAGCCTAGAGAATGAGTATACACTCTGATACTCATTCATTGTAAGGTCGATGTAGAAACTTCATGCTACCGGCGTATGCCGTGGGAGCTAGTTCGGACGGGTGCTTTCATCATCGAACAAACCGTGCAAGATGCATCTTCAAGTCTGATTGGTGTCTACGAATATGTTTGATTATTGTTCCTGTCGCAGTATCTCAGCGTGGGTCAACAGAAGGTTGCCCAACTGAACATGTATTCATCAAACGAGCCGCCTTAGTCAATACCTTTAAAGTTGACATGCATGAGGTATCTCTGAGGCAGTAGGCCAAATTCCCCTAACCACTCTCCAATTCCGACAATGCACGTGAAAACATGAGGCGCACGATTTTGCCGGGGGTCCCTGCCCCACCACTTACGTAGGCGATGGTGGAACTGCACACAGCATCATGTTTTGTCGAGGCTGCGTATTTTCAAAATTATTTGCTATATATTATTTTTAACTTCTCAAACTTTCATCAAAACAACATCAAACACCTTACGGTGGTATGGTCTAGTGGTATGACGTCGCGTTGTGGCTGGCGGACAACTCTGTTGTCCCGATCCAGATCCGCGCCAGCCTGGGTTCGAGTACGTTCAACCTCACAAATTGGTGGTCCTGAGACATCTTCTAACATGTCTACAGTTCCCAGTACCGCCAAGTATTAGCGACATCTTTTTTTTGCTCTCTTAGCATCCCTTCTGCTGTTCACATGTTAAGTGTTCGGTGCTAATGACTAGCTCTTTTTTTATTTCTTTATTGGGAATATCAATAGGCGCGATATGAATCATTTAGCTCGTATAGAATGTACAAGGGGTCCGGTAAAACATGCATAGGTTCGAGGCCGCTTACGTCTCGACAATTACCGATAATATTCGGCGCAGCGAAGATCACATCAATGAGTCTGGGATACCTTTTCTTCGGCAACATCTAGTCTGGTTTCTGTTCTCGTAAATTTTCTCTAAAGAGATTGTTTTTTTGGGCTATTACTTGAATCAGCAACAAAACAACACTTGATTGTGTTGAATGGCCATGCTAGTCGTGCTGTTTAAGTCTTTATCCAAACGTGGATAATACTTCTTCCTCTTCCTCCTCCCCCCCCCGAAAATGATTGACAAACCCTACCGCCAACTGATTTCTTGCATGCAAAATGCACCTTGCCAGTTGGGGCATTTCAAGTTTTTGTCTGCAGGGGTTGTATTTGGAAAATTTCCGATGTTTCTAAAGAAAAAGTCTCAACTGAGCACGGAAGAAGAGGTTGGACGGTATGTGCCGTATGTCAATATCCAGTTCACCAAATGAGTCAGGTTGTACAGAATGATACTGGAGCGCGAAAAAATGCTCTGTTTAATGTCGGCCAGGGAGTCTTGTAATCGAAGGGGTTGACTGATCCATCATGTGCAGGCAGACAAGTTACACACAGCGATTTCTGACTGTATATGCGCTATCCGTATGGCAATCGTGGGACGTACAAAGGTAGCGTGTGAACCCTGGGAGAAAAACGTGTAAACGCCTCCTAGATGCCTCTGATAGGTAATGATTCTATCATGTTCTAGTGCACGGGTGTGTGCGTTTGGCGAGGTATGGGTTGAATAAGGCGCGGACGTGAGGAGAATCGACTTGGTTTGGGATATCGAATGTGGGATTGCGAACTTTGCAGTTTATCGACGGGGCAGGATATTACGAGGTGGGGTTTCGTGTACTTCGAAGAACATGCTGGCAGTGCTTTACGAGCAGTTGGGGAAAAGGGCGTCTCGTAGGCGATTGTGGACTGTTCTATGTATTTATGTGAGATCGTGTAGAAGGATGTATCCGGAGCTGAAACGGTCATGCATGAGCGGACCCAGAACACGCAATTCTTTGTCAGACTTCAGTACAAAGTCATGGCTTAGTACAGCGAGGTTGGAGACGAGAACTGTGCTCTAGACACGCAAAATTGGATCCATGGTAGCTGTCTTTGCCAGCATAGTTCATGGTACTATGACATTCATTGACAGTGCTGCTGGGATATAGAGTCATCGTTTTTGGCAAGTATTCGCAGTGCTGTCGAGTGTGGTCTTGCAATCGCCACACTAGCTATCGGTCAAGGGAAACCAATTCCTCGGAACCGCCTTTACCGACATGGTGGGCCTTGTCTAGCGTGTATGCAAGGATGACCAGAAACACAGGCTTGGTGGTAAAAATGGCAACACGACAGAGAAGTAATCGAGCTCGAGGTCCTGTTCGACGAGGAGAGTTGAGGTGGACAGTCGCAGATTGGAGGACAAATGTGAACTTGGAGAACTCCTTGAGGGAGACAAGGCAATTCTTGGCGGCGAAGGCTTTTTTTCTCGAGGGCATGTCTAGTCACAGCTTAGGGGCATACTTGATCAGAGACGACTAGTGGTATTGTTGCTTCGACTTACAGCTTGAAGACAAGACAAAGTATGTATATATGATTTGAAATCGACGCCCGGATAAGGGGAAAGCAAAATTTGGACGCACAGAAATTGCAGACTAAAGATTCGCATGCGTAAGTCTGGGTAGAAGGGACATCGACGTGAGTGTTTCGTTGAGGCTGTGGCTGAATCAATGGGCGGGGGATGCTTCTCCACGGGTCTCTGTCCATCTATGGAACGGCTGTCAAAAGGCGGCTCATCGGTTGTGCGGAGCGATCTCCGAAACATAACGTAGTAGTTCTCATGACTACCTCACCGGCTTTTTTCTCTTGTTGGTACGTCTGCCGTCCTTGGCTCTAACTCCTGGGTATCCCCGCTGCCGCCAGCGCCAGTACCAGCACCACCGCCGCCGGCACTCTCAGACTCAGTTTTTTCTTCGTCTTCAACGCCGCTGGCACTCCCTCTCCTGCTCTTAGTTGGACTCTCATCAGCACTAGGCCTGCTGCCGCCAAGCTCGGTAGCAATCTGCATAAGCACATTGCCATGCGTAATGGTTTCGACAATGTCCCGCGGCTCCTCACCCGCTCTGATTCGTGCTAGTGTCTCAGACGCATCCTCATACGGCAGCGACTTGAGTAACTCGAACAGCTCTTCTAGGTCCTGATGCTTACGCTTGGTTTGTGCAGTTTCCGTTTCCTTGTACTGACACTGGCTGTCACGAGCCGCACACTCACTACACTGAGGGCGCTCGCCATTACACTAGAAAGGTACACATCAGATGCCGTCTATGCCGCTTTGCTTGTTCGTTTATGCACTAAATCTGTACCTTGGTTTTGCGAGTTCTGCATGCGGCGCAAGCTAGGGTTACGCGAGCTCGCTTTGGTTGTGTGGGCGGAGGCTCACTCCTGGGTGTTGTTGCGGGGAGCAGAGTACGAAGAGGCCGGCCTCCAGCGCTTTCCCCTGGAGCAGCTGAGTTTGGCTGTTGTGATTGCATGTCACAGGCGGCCAACAGAAGCCGACTGGGGCAAGAGCCGCTTGTGTGCTCGAGAGAGGAGTCGGGCGAGCCTCGAGCACAGAAGGGGAGGGTAGGAAAGAGTTCCACAGACCAGCGAGGGGGATAAAATGATAGTGTTAGAGAAGTGCGGGTGCGCCCGGTTCCAAGTATGAGATTGTGACGAAAGCACTGCACCGACGTAGGGTTTGGGGAAAAAATTGCCGCGGTCTTGCCTGTACGACTGAAGAGACTGGTCGTCTTCCTAGTCTTTGCCCTCTGAAATGTTACTGTTACCCAACCAGCCCCGATTCGGGCACTCAGGCACTCGATATTCTTTCCGTATCGAATTGCTGAATGTAGCCCAGGCTCTGATCCTCGTAGCGTGTCTGCGTCCGCATACGTGTAAGAAGACCGGCTATCCGTCCGCCAATCAGATTGCGCGCTCAGGGCGGTTTGCCACTGCGCCTGCGTCCATCGGATTCTGCCTACAGGCACATACCGGCACGACGACTGATCCAGTAAAGCCCAAAGAGTCATACATGCTTCTTTTTCCACGGCCAGACGCAATGGTTGGAACGGCATGCCAGCTTAGGGTATACATCCATGACGGCCCTGCATACGCCCATGCCCAACTCTCCAGACACTCGAGCGCTGGCGCCGTGGAGCCGCTGGCGCTGTACGCAGAGTGTTTCTTTTACTGTCTTCTCCGTCAGTCGCCCATTGCCCAGAGGCAAAATTTGCTGGCGGCCACAGGAGAGGGCTCCCGTTAAACAGGTTTATTCCCACATGAGCCACGTGATGTCCATCTCCCCTCCCCTATCCCGCTAGTCGTGGAACGCTTTGTGGTCTGATTGATAGACAGAAAAAAAAAGATAGCCACCCGCCGCTCCAAGGTGGGGTGCATAGTGGCCATTTTGACGTTCCGGGAGCACACAGTCTCGCGCTTACGCAGTATGCAAAGACGGTACATAGGCGGCCTCCGCCTTTTCCGGTTACAGTCCCGTTAGAAAGGATTGCTGGTAGGGCTATGTCACAGACACACACAAGGATCGCGTGAGGAGGAACCATTGAGCAGATCAGTATCCGCGGGACACCCTCCGCGGAGATGCGATCAAGATCTAAAACAACCCTCACGTCTCGCCTGCAGCTCTTGGCCAGTACTGTCACCTACATACTGTATATATGTATCCCACTGGGGTGGCGAAGCGGAAACAATGGCCAGGCGGACAGAGCGTTTTATTCCCGTGAAGACAGTGGTTTGGCCGGTGGTGGAAAAGGCAAGGGGGCTTGTGCAAAACAGCAGGTGCTAATGACGATAGATAGGAGCTTCAACATCCGATGCTCAAGTTTGAGCCTGCAAGGTTTTTGTGTTCGAAAAAAAAAAGCAACTGATACAGCTCACCATAGACGCTTACCCATGTACACTTGAAATTGGTCTGCATACCTACACTACAGACGCTAACTCGAGAAATAGGCATAATACCAACATGTGTGCGAAAAATAGGGGTGGCAAATAGCTACAATGCAGGGATCATGCATAGTTCCTACTACTTCTGGTACATACCTCCGGCGTCAATCTACATTTTCTTGTTGGGAGTGCAAGGAGTACCAACAAGTTAAATACATGCACATGCACATACAACAAAACGTATACGGCAAGACAATCATGTTCTCTCATAACATTTGTCACTTTCCCATCATTCTAGTGCTGCTCAATACTCGAAGTCGTCATCAACACTAGGCCCCTTGTTCTTGGCCACGCTTTCCTGCCTTTGGTACATTTCCGCAATCATACGACTTGAGCTTGCCTGATCTGGCTTCTTGTCCTCCCTCTCCTTGATGAAACGTGGAAAGCGTAAACTAACACCCTTGCCGCCACCGCCAACTTCAGCTGCAGCTGCTTTATACCGTGGCGACAAGGTGAGATCCGCAGTCTTGACCTCCCACACATATCGCGGCTCGAACCATACGTCAGGCTGGTCTTTGTTGCCAGTCGAATGTGTGTAGAATGGTTTCGGGCGGTCGATGACAATCTCAGAAAGAGTCTTGTGTAAAGTTTCGAGAATAGCCTCAGAAAAACCAGTACCAATGTTGCAGACTGTTTCGTACTTTTCCGTCGAAGGATTGTAGCAGGCAAGCAAAAAGGCACCATACCAGCTGGTACGCTTGCCCTTGCCATAGTAAGCTCCTAACACCACAAGATCCAGTGAATCACCCACACCGGCAAGGTAGTCTTTCTTGACCTTGAGCCAATTCTGCGAGCGCTTAGATGGCTCGTAGTAAGATTCTGGGCCGTCCAACATCTTGACCATGAGACCTTCACAACCTTCCTTTACTGAGTCTTCAAGGAGCGTCTGGATCTCCTCTAGTTCGTTGGTGTTGCCATACTTGGCGAATGCAAACTCGCCTTCGACAGGTACAAAGGCTTCTTTGAGATGCTCGCGACGCTCACGGAATGAGTTGGTTACCAGTGCCTAATTATGTCAGCAATTGATCACTAAGCAAGAGTTGTAATACACACCTCGCCATTGAGATAGAGGATATCAAAGGCAAAAACGCAAACCTTGACCTTGACGTCTTCGACCTTGACATCCTTGCGCTTCCTCGTCATGAGTTGTTGGAAAGGCAGCACCTTCTTCTCCACCATATCCCAGGCAACCGTCTCGCAGTCCAGAACGAAACTCTTTGTGCCTTGTTTGACCCAAGTTGGCAGCTTGGCAAGAATATCAGGATACTTCTTAGACAAATCCTCGGAGTTGCGCGAGAAAATGTTGGACACGCCACGCTCGCTCTTACCAGCGCTGGGTGCTTCAGTAGCCAGCTCTATCTTTGCATCGTGAGCGACAAAGTGAATCTGTGCGCGCTCTCCATCGTACTTGTATTCACAAGTAAAGTCCTTGCCTTCAAAACGATCCAAAACCTCCGTGATGGACTTTGTTGGCTTGGCAAGCATAGGCTTCAGAGGTACACCGGGCTGTAGGCGACAGTTCTCGCGCAAGTTCATGATGCCGTGCTCAATCATTGCTGGGATGATAACTTCGTAACTTGGCAGCTCGCTGTAAACTGTCTTTAGCATAGCCTCTGCTTTGCCCAAATCCTCCGTTGATGGCGTCTTGCCCTGGAGTGACATCTCATGGAAGATCATTGCCTGTGCGACAGCTACAACAACAGTCTTCTCAGCAAGGCCCAGTCGAAGTTTACCCTCGAGGGTTCGGACAATGAACTTTGCTTCACTAGGCCCGCCTTTATCCTTCTCAATGTCAATATTCTTACCAGAGTTGTGCGCATCTGCTGCTGATAATAGCTTCTTAATCCCATCAACCTTGCGCCCCTGAGCACCTTGTCCTTCGATAGTAGCGATGGCCATAAGTCCCTTGCGCACGCCCTCGACTGTCAACGCCTTGGGCTTGAACATGGTAGGTTGTTTTGATCGGCTCTTAGCTGCAACCAAGCCAAGATCTCCGATTTCGTTCTGGTCGCTCTTGATGTGTTGTAAACTCCGTCCAGTGCTCTCGGAAATTGCCTTCATGATCAGAGACTCGCCAATGCCGAGCTCAATGCCTGCATAATCGGCTGCAAGCTTGTTGACCATGAGCATGACAGTTGGCAGCATATCAGATGGAGTCAATCGCAACACCTGTCTCAAGAACAAGGAGCAGTGTGCGAGAATCTCTAGGCGCTTCGTCGTCATCTCAATCTTCGAAAAAGTTGTGCATAGGGCCGCATATGGGACTGGCTCGCCTGGTTTCCAGTCGGGATATGGGTCTTTGGTGTTGGACGCAAGGGTTGTCTGTACCTGCTTCCGTGCCTTGACCTTGACCTCTTCAGGCTCCTCTTCAGAACTGACCATCTCATCCTCTTCTTGTTCCTTGCTCGATTCGGTTTCCTCCTTTGCTAGTGCAGAAGACTTTTCAGCCTCCTTTTTGTCCTTCTTGCTCTTGGCCTTTGTCGACGCTTCCTCTTCCTCGTCTTCTTGCTCTGCAGCCTTGGATTTAGCAGCTGATTTCTTTGGCTTGGGAGATGGCTGTTCAGTCTTTGCTTTCGCGGCTGCCTTCTTCGGCTTCTCCTTCTCCGCCAAAGGTTTTCTCCGTTGGCGTTTGCTTGGAGGCTCTTCCTCAGACTCTTCCTCTACCTCTTCTTTAATTTGCCTTTTCTTACCAGTCTCAGAGCTTACGCTGTCCACTTCCATTGCCTCGCCATCTGATTCTACTTGCTCCTTGACTGGTGCTCTGACTTCTGCGTCTGAGTCAACATCCTCATCTTGTTCCTTCTTCAGGTCCTTTGGTGAGGATCGTGGCTCATCTTGCGGTGTTGAATCTTTCTTGCTCGGCTTCGGTTTCGTAGAAAAGGCTAGTTTCGACTGCTGCTTTGCATCACCGTTTGGTTTCCCAAAGAACTTGCTATTGAGTAAAAGTCAGCACTGCATTACCACCAAAAGACTATTGAAGGATGTCGTCGCACCCTAGAGTAGTCTGGGAAGACTTCACATACCCAAGTGTAGCTTGCTTAGGAGCCATGACTGCAGAAGGACGACTGTGACCTGCGCTCCAATGCTGCGAAAGGCAGTTTTGACGTAATAAGCGGGGAGATGAATGTAAAGAACGAGCCGAGGATTGAAAAGTCAAAGGGAAGCGCGATTTTAAACAGAAACAAGAAGCATTGAAGCGGAGGGGCATGCTCTGTTGGTAGGGAGGGTGCAGTTGCCTAGGCAGGCAGTCAGGCAGACCCTCTCCAAAGCGCGTCGCGCCTGGCTCGCCGCAAACGCGAAAGTCAAGCGGCCCCGGCCTTCAACCCCAACGAGACCCCTGCTGACATCATTCATCCGACATGGATTAGGCGGCATCGCTGAAGCGTCATGACCTTGCCATTGTAAAATCGCAAAGTCACACCACTGTACATGTAACACGCAAAAGTAAACCATTCTCAAAACTGGCGTACTACTTCTGGAAACACCGTGATCCTCCATCACCGCCCACCATGTCCAAACCCTCTGCGCAACCTCAACTCACGCCACAATTCTGCTTCAACCAAACTGCACTCCGAGGTGAGCAACATCCCCTCAACCTCTTGCCAAAATTCCCTCCCCAGCCCACTAACTAATACGCAAGCCGGATGAACTACAGACTTCCTCCGCATATCCCGCAGTAGCATCGACGACTCGATAACGCAGAACCTCAACGCTCTCCTCACCCCGGCGCAACGAGGTTTCGATCCAAGCTCCACAAGCACACGACAGCTGTCGCCGCCGGGCCACCCCAGAGCCCTGGAACCAGGGCAATGTGAAGGGTTTAAAGAAAAAGTGCTGTTCCCCAGCTGGGCAATACGATCAGATGTACTAGACTATTGCGCCGGCGTTGCGACATCGCCGGATCCAGACGATCCAGACAGTCTTCTACGGCAGATTGAAGATGCTAAAGCGAGAGAGCGCACAGTAGATGAGCGGCTGGATCCATATTCTGGGCGCTATTTTCCTGCAGAAGCGAGGACTGAGAGTCTGGCTATGCTTATGCGCAATGAGCGTGCGGTAGAGAAGATTATACGCATGCGCACATGGAGTGTACTGGGCGAGCGATGTGGAATCAGCAGCGAATCGGCAGATGATGCATTTGACAAGTGGAGGGCGGCACGACAGCGCTGAGGGAGCATTGCGAGGGCTGGATTAGACAGCATAGTTTTGGTGCATAGCGTGTAATCTCCACTTTGTATAGTAGTAGGCATATGAATGGCGTCTGGTTTCTCTTGCTGCGGTTATCGCTATCAAACAGTCGGCATGAGATGAGCACACAAGCAACGAGAAGTCCACATCGCTACCAAAAGAACTTGATGACGATCGCAAAAAAAAAAATGCTCGAACCTCTCACGCTTGACATTGAACTGATGCTCTCACATGCCCGACGTCGACGCTCCTCCAAGAGAGTTCGCCGTTGTCCCCACAAAATTTTTGCAGAGCTCACCCTCACGAACCTTCCACAAGAAACCGACAATCTCTCGCGCAACATATCGCAAGGGCACGTAGAAAAGCAGCAACGACAAAAAATTAACTCGACGCAGCGCTTTGCTCACATCTCCAAAAAAAAAAAAGAGGAAGATCCCAAGTCACAAAAGGCATGTCCCACACCATCCCACAACTCCAATCCATCTTTTCACGGATAATTGCAATTGGTAGGAAAGACGGGCGGATATCTCTCTACGGGGCCGGGAACGGAGAACTATCCATTGGAAGAAAAGAGGGATAACTCTCAGCAAGCCGCTTTCGCGGAGCCACGATTTTTAGGTATGTAGATTACCAACTGATGATGAGGAAAAAGGAAGAGGGATGGAGACCGGCTGTGCTTTATACGCCGAGGGGAGCGGGAGGCGGGGCGGGCCCGTGCTTGGGTAGCGCGAGATTAGTCAGCAGTTGAGGCTGGGACAATGGGCGAAAAATGAAACTGTGAGGACATGAGAAAAACTCTGCCCTTAGGACGCCTGTGCGGTGTGGGCTGCAAGTGGGGCAGGTAATCATGGATGGCTGCTTGTCAAAGTTGTGCGGCAGAGTCTGAGTATCAAGGACATACTAGTACACATGGCAAATCACATCATACAACGACAGATATTCATCACGATGCATACACAAAGACAATCAAGTGTGGCGGGTTCATGCATGCATTCAAGCTAGCTAGACCCATCCATTTTATATCCATCGAGATTCCGTGAGATCTTAAATCATGGCCATCCGTCTTTCGACAGATCGCCACAACATAACCCAGCAGACGCAACGACAAATGCTCTAGTAGAGACGCTTGGGAGGGCTCATGGTGGCCTTGATGGTCAAGGAGCCCACGTTCTGCCATCCCTTCTTCAGCAGAGAGACGAGGTAGTTGATGGCCAACATGATGTTGCCAATCAGCTCATCTTCAGTCATGCCAACGTTGCCAATGGCGACACCCATGCACAGAACCTTCTTCAACTGGAACTTGATGGTGGACTTGACTTCGTTCATCTTGTTGGCGAGGTCCTCGTTGTGGGAGACGGGGGTAGGGAACTTTCCGGCCTTGGAGAGACCGGGTCCGAGGAGACGGGGAATCTGCTTGATGAGAGCATCGGAGGCCATGAAAGCATCGTACTTCTTGGCGAGCTTCTTGATGAGCTTCTTGTTCTTGTTAAGCTTCTTCAAGTCCTGCATCATTTTGTCAGAAACGTTCCGATGGATCCAGTGTCATGGTACTCACATCAGTGCTCATGGCATCGACACCATGGTGCTTGGCACGATCGATATCGTGCTGGTCACCGAGAACGCAAATGCTCATGCCTATTCACTCTCCATTAGCCCATGTCCATGTCCGATACTCTCTGCTATCGACTTACGAGGACGGGGAAGCGTGGGGAGCTTGATGGTTCCCGAGAAACGCTTGTCACGCTGGGGGTCGTAGTTCTTGAGGCCGATCTGGAGTTCGACGGTCTCGAGGAAGTTCCTCTTCTTGGTCTCGTTGGAGTACTCGAGGAGCTGTTGAACGTTCGTACGAACGCCGGCGACAGAGATTTTCGACATGTTGGCTGATGTGTCTCCCAGAGGATATCGGTTCCTTTGGTGGCTCTGTCAAGGTTGGTGTTGGGGGAAAAGAGAGGCGAGTTGCGGTGGATTTCACAATGTGGGCGGAAAGGCGCGCTAGCGAATTCCACGCTAGACCGCTCTGGTGCAGCTAGGCAGCAGCCTTCGAATGCAACAACGGTAAATGAGGTTGCGAGTAATGTTAGAACAAACAAGGAGATTGGTTTATGAGTCACAATTTGTCCAGTCATATGTCCCTTTGGGAAAGACATATTGGGTGAATACCAAACGTCCATCTTCTGTACGTTGTACGATTCCTGTCAAACCACTTCACAAAACGAAAATCGAATGCACAAGGTCGTCGCATACTTCCACATTTGTCGCACGCCCGTAGGCAGAATAACTATAGTAATATACAGTCGCTTTTTGCCATGCATGGATGTGCACTACGCCATGCAATGCCCCAAACTCCTCGCCATGTCCATCAGAGTCAAAGAAGAAAAATAATAATGCAAGAAGTAGCACATGCCACAAAAGACTGCTGCTACGGGTATCCCATATGAGAAACCCTAACGCCGAATTCACACCGTTTCCATAAGCCAAACCAGATCAAACCAAGGGGTATGTTGCGCACACAGGCCGCCGTGCCAAATGGAGTAAAAGCCGAAAGCCGTAGATATACAGAAGGCGAGAAAGGGTTGTTCAGGACCACTGAACATACCCAGGCCAATTGTTAGAACTTATCAAAGAGCCAGCGCATCATTCGTCATCTCAGTGCATGAGCTGTTGGTTGTTTGCCGCGTCGACAACATTGTCGGAGAGATTGATCAAGAGTTGAGCAAGGCAGCGCTTGGTGGCAGCGTCATCCCTCAGAACAGAGGAGAAAGTAGCATCTCGAAGCGGCTCGGGTAAGGACTGACGCAGCGCCTCGCGAGCGCGAGCATTATCGCTCAAGCTGTCTAGAGTTAGATGCAAAACGGAAAGGTGCACGACAAAGCTACTTACCGGAGAAAGCAACGCACAACGTGCTTCAGCAAGCGGACCGTCTGTTGCTCAACGAGCTGATTAACCATGTTGCTCAAGACGGTGCCTACAGCATAGAAACGCTCATAGGTTTGGCAGATGTATGCGAGACCAATGTCGTCTAGCAAGATCTTCTGGACAATGAAAATTGCCACAGTCTTGCTGAGCTCCGAGCCAGTCTCCATGATACGGAGACAAAGTGGGATGATTTCAGTAGTGAGAAGGAAATTGATGACTTCAGAAGAGTCATTCTTGACAAGAGCGCCAATTACACCGAGAGACGTAAGACGTAGGTATTCGAAGGGTCGTGATTTGGACGTCGTGTTAAGAAACGGGTACAGGAAGAGCGGAATGTGCGCTGTTTGGTCGTCAGCCAGTTCAATGTAATGCGGGACGTGTTAACATACCACTCAGAAATAGGCCACGGGTTTCAGTGTGAGAAGCCACGCATTGAAGAAGCGCGAGAGCATTGCAGACACGGTTGGATGCTGCAGCAGTCAATTGCGAAGGATTGAGCAGCGGGTAAACGGAGATGATCTCTTGGAGAAGAGAAGCCATAACACCTAATGGATAGTCATTAGGACTGAACTTGAAATATGGAACATCTGGCAGTCATACCGAAAGAATGCCAGAGAATCAGAGCCAGCTCGGGTACCTGCTCCCGCTTCTTGCTCAACTCCAGAAGCGCGGCCTCCCTAGTAGCAGGCTTCATGAGCTGGGTTACCCATTCCAAAACGCGCCTGTTCTCATCCGTCATGCCGACATCGGCTGCCTGGACGTCGTTGGCAGGTCCTCGGGGAACGGCGTTGTTTCCGGGCAGCGTGGAGCCATTGTTGGCCGCAAGCTGCTGGTGGTATTGGCGCTGCGCAGCTGCTTGAACGGCCTGAGCCTGCTGCTGGGCGTGCAACTGGGCAGCCTGCGCTTGATGCTGTCCATGTTGGGCTACGTGATGTTGCGGCTGCTGGTGGTGGCCCTGACCCCACTCGCCGTACTGTTGCTGATGTGCGAGGAAATGTTGCATTGGCTGCGGGTCGTAGCGGTTTCGCGGGTATTGCGGGGTATTGGTGAGATGAAGTCAGTTGCGTGGATCTAAATAGAAAGCGACAAGCGATCAAAGAATAGGCTGGTGGGTCGAAGGGCAGGCGATGGGGATTGGGGCGTGGTGAGTATGTTCTGGCTGCACTCGAGAGATGAGGCCGCGAAGCACCCCACTGGCGCGAGCGCCTTGGCGCCTGCGGGAGCTCGTGCTTTCGACGGAGATCGACGGCGCATCCGCACCAGATGCAGCTTGGGCAACAGTATAACGTTTGTAAGTGCGCCAATCAAAGTAAAACGGTGAAGGCGCTGAGGCAGCAGTGATAGGAGCACGAGTCACTGCAAGGGTCCAGTCAGGTTACGACCCTGTAAAGGGGGGGGGGGGGTTTAGAGAGCTCGATTCACTATTCATTGATATCAGACTTCTAAGATTTCATCTGCTCCGACCGCTCCAACCATTACAGGGCAAATGACAAATGAAATTCGTGGGCGGTGGTTCTACTCATAAGGAAAATCTGCTCCAAAAACCTTCTGAAACTAATCGAAAAAGAGAAAAAGAATTACAGTGCATAGTTGAAGTTCCAAAAATTGACGTCTGCCTGCCAATGTCCGAAGTGAAAGAAAAAAAAGCCGTCAAACCCTCTCCTACACCCTTTACAACAAAGAATCATCATAGCCTAAGCTCTGAAAGAATAGTTTGTGCCATGTTCTTGTACTGCCAAGTTCCTCCATCCACCTTCTTAAATTGGATGCCATGCAATGTCAACAGAGGGACTTTGACAATCAGTATCTCAAACACGAGGTTCATGTTAGAGCCCATGTCACTTTGTACATGCGTCGACGTTTCGCCAGCAGGTACTGCACGTCGTGGTCGTCGCTCGTCACGGTCTTCGCTGCCATCAGACTCATCAGTATTCGTATAGCTGCGGTCTGCGGGAGATGGTCGCGAGCGTGACTTTGGTGTGTTGGGATTGCGGGTCTGGTCCCGTAGTTCGTCACGCTCTTTGTCACCACCAATGAAGCCCCCAAAGCTGATTCTCCTCTTGTGTGCTCCGATAGGTGGTGATGCGGGCGAATCCATCGCTCTATTCATGTCGATACTAGGTGAGTGTCGACATCTGAATCCACCCTTGATTTCAGTCCATTCTACGCCCAGTTGGTCCAAAACCCTGATCAAGTCATCTTGAATGACGGTAAGTGGTTTTGTGCTGGTAGTAGAGACGCTAAACAGGCCCTTGAGAAAAACGGGCTTGACTGCATCTGGACTCCGGCTGGCTTCTGCTTGCGCTTCTGCGAGTTCTGCGTCCGTCTCTTCGGGCACATTCGCTTCCTTTGCCTGCTCTCTTTTGGCGCGTCGGGCCTGGATGCTCTCTCTTCGAGCATGACCCAGAGACTTCGCCCGCGAGGTCTGACTGTGCCGTGAGCTTGAAGAAAGGTCGTCCGAAGCAGCATCGTTGGCTGCTCGAGTCTTGTTCGCACTCATCTCGGATCTGTCCGATCCGCTTGTGGGTGGAGGGTTTCCAGGGTCTTCTGAAGACCGTCCCCGTCGGCTGAGTCGTCTGCGCAGGTCTGCCGAGTTGACACTGGTGGAGCGGCCAAGTGCTTTCAGTTTTCGAGCAGCGGTGTTGCTGGTTCCGGGAGGTGAGAGCAATTCAGGCTGATTATTAGCGTTTGCCGGAAGATGTGAGGCTGATCCTGCGTCGCGGTCGCGTGTCCGTCGAATACTAAAGCTCTTCCTTGGGACTGAGGTTGGGGGTGCAGAGACTATCTCAGGGGGGCCAGAAATTGCAACAGCTGGAGTGGGTGGTGGTGGCAACGGTTCCACCTTTTCCTTGTCATGGCTGCGATACTTTCTAGTACTGAAGCGACGCAAAAGACCAGCTGCAGCTCCCTCCTTCTTTTGCTGCTCGACCTGTGGGGGGAGAACCGGCGGCAGACTGTTCAGATCCACTCTCTTAAGACTGTCTGTAATATCGTCCTCACCATGTGTCCTTGCTCTAGGTCGTGATCTCCCACCTGTAGGCTTCTCGCCCGCCATTTCGTAAGTTGCTGAATTGGTGTACGCGGCTGGTGGTGCTGGGAGGTCTGGCATTTTGAGTGGCTTCTCTTCCGGGGCCTGAGGGATAGCGACAGGGCCTGGGTCGGCGGTCTCGAGCCGCTCACGATCTCTCTTTTCTTTGACGAGGAAGTAAACCGACAGCAGGGGGCTATATGCATTCACAGGGTCCAAGCCTCTCTGAATATCTTCAGAGGACGAGGCCGTCAACTGCTCTCTGCTCCCGATTGAATTCCGCCTCTTGTAAAAGTCAAACATGCCCCTCTTCTTCTCAGTATCTGGCGTCTGTGCGGTAGCCTTGCGTGCTGCCAGTCGCACAGCACGTTGATACTCTTCCGACTGGATAACGTTGGTCAACTGTGCGGTGATGTATTCAGTAGTGCCGAAATCGAACCCCTGCATCTTCTCAACGACTTCCGGATCCAGGGGTAGTTGAATGGGTTCTCGATGAGGCAAGTAGTTTTCCGGGGGGCTGTTAAAGCCCTTTGTCAGCCAGGGATGGACCATGATCTCTGAGAGTGTCAGTCTCTGGGCGGGATCCGTCTGCAACATCCGGTGTATTAGATTGCGACATTCTATGCAACGTTAGCACAGAACGAAATATCGATTGGTGAGTAAAGCATACCAGTAGAGAGCCATGGTGGATAGTCAACATGTCCCTTTTTGATTTTTGCGTGTAGCTGGGGCATGCTCTGATCGTCAAAGGGCACCTTTCCGCAGACGAGGACGTAGAGAACAATACCAAAACTCCAGACATCGACTTCGGGGCCGGTGTACTGCTTGGCCTGGAGGAGTTCGGGGGCGGCAAAGTACAAACTTCCGCAAAAGGTCTTGAGCTGATTGCGGGGAGAGAAGAGATTGCTGAGACCGAAATCGATAATCTTGA